TTTATAAGAAAAATTATGAGAGAAAGAGAGATGAAAATCCAGATGTGAGGAAGAAATATGAAGAAAAAAAACCGTGCAGACACTGCGAAAGATTGAATAAAGCTGCAAGATACCATCCGGAAAATTCATGCTGGTTTAAGAAGGAGGAAAAAAAAGAAGCTACATTGGTTGGAAGTCATGGAGTTTTGGCGATGGAGTTGGAAAAGGAAGAAAAAAACTAGTAGTCACACCATTGATAAGGGTAGAGGCAATAATACAAGATACAATAAAAGTAAATGCCGTCTATGATCCAGGCTCACAGGTCTCATTGATAAATTCAAAATTAATAAAAATAAAAAATGAAGAAATTGATGAAAATAAAATATTCTTGAGGACATTCAATGGTGTGACAAATACAAAAGGATTAATAAATATTAAAATGAGATTACTTGATAAAGAAAAATATGTAAAAGTATTTATTGTAGAAAGACAGGATGATGAGAAATTTATCATAGGATTGGACATGATAAAAGAGTTTGGTTTAATACAAAATTCAAACTTACAAATAACGAGAGAGAAAGACTTAAGCGTTGGTGAAAAAGAAAAAAAGTTAATATGTTATAATAATGTGCAAGTGGATTTTAACGAGCATATATACAGTGAAGAAAATAATATAATGAGATTAGATCATTTGAAAAAAGAATATAAAAGTAAAATAGAAAGTATGGTCGAGAAGTACAGTATGGTGTTTGCTAAGAACAAATATGATGTTGGAAAAGTCAAAGATTATGAGGCTAGAATAGATTTAATAGAAGATCGATATTGTAGTAAGAGACCGTACAGATGCACCATCGAGGATAAGAAAGAAATAGAAAAGCAGGTTGCAAAGTTATTAGAAAAAAATTTAATTGAAGAGTCGTATAGTCCGTTTGCAGCACCGGTTACATTGGTGTTTAAAAAAGAAGAAGGTACAAAGTCTAGATTATGCATAGATTTCAGGGAGCTGAATAAATTAGTAGTTCCGCAGTCGCAACCTTTTCCAGTGATAGGAGATCTTATAGTGAAGACTCGAAATTGTAAATTTTTTACAACGTGTGACACTACAGAATTTCGTGTCAGAGCCGAGCAGTGATTCTGATGAGCGAACCACGCCAGAGCCGGAATATTGCGCCAGAAGAGCAAAAAGAGAGCCGATGGATTTGATAAATTGTAATTCGCGCCGGACAATAACTAATTTGGAGTTAGGGCCGCTAGGGCGCGTGACGTCAGAGAGCGAGAACGAGCTGCGTCGGTGTGGCATTCACGTGTGAGCCACGGGCGAGAGTCGTGCCGAGTGAGTTGAGGCACGTGAGAGTAACGAGTGACGAGAGTAACGAGTGACGAGAGCAACGAGTGACGAGAATAACGAGTGTTGTGAGAGAGGTACTTGCGAGTACTGAGTTGTGTGAGTCGAGCGAGCGAGATTTACGAGTGAGTCTTTTGTGCCGAGTGAGTAGAGGCACGAGTGAGAGAGAAGTGAGTTTGAGAGAGAGAGAGAGAGAGAGAGAGAGTGAGAGAGTACGAGTGGTGTTGAGAAGTGTGAGTCGTGTTCGGAGTGAGAGAAAGCAATTGGTGTTGCTGGGAAGTGTTGAGAGCGGCTCAATAGTTATCGCGTAGTTTATTGCAGTCACGGAGAGCCGGTTCGCGATACCTTGGACTGTGGTCTTGACCGCCGTGATTACTATTTGCCTGTGCCATACCGCCTGCGCCGTCTCAAAAGAGACAGAAAGAACACGTCAGAGGCCTATTGATCATCACCTGGGAGACAAAACAACGAACCGTCGGTAACGAAAATAGCGCCGGAGTCATGTACGAGAGTGTGTGTGCCTAGTCGTGATCGTGCCAAATAATTACGCCAGTTCTTTTGATAAATAAAAGCGATTTCTCATAAATAATAAATAAGTGTTTGTAATTATTTTTATTTCGCCTTTCTTTCCCGTTCCCTCGAACGTCGCGTATTTAGCCCTATTCGAGCCCGCGACCTCACAGTGCGGCGGTGGCTGGGCCTTGGAATACCACCGTGTCGCAACATTTAAAAAAAAACACATAGCGTTATCTTTTCCAAAATGTCGAAAACTAAAATGGGCAATATAGATTGCGCAATTTTAAGTAAAACTGTTGATGTGCATAGCAAAATTCGATTAAAATGCACTCAAAATCAACAATGGGCGCGGGCAAAACCCATGTTTATATCGTATATAACTTTTTTTACAAAGCACGCACATCAAAATTAGATATACCACTCGATTCTTTTACTCAAAAACTACTTTTCCCCATGATTTCGTAATGATTCATGGCGGGGCCAATTGGGATATTAGGATTTTGTAAAAAAATCATTAAAAAACTAAAAGTCGAGTTAAATTGTTCTCAAGAGGGTAGAAGGCGCGGGTAACGACGCACATCAGTCAGTGACATTTTTTTCGAAAGTTAACTTTCTGAGGATTGTTTGGTGATGGTTTGGATAAAAAAGCTCGATGGGCCTATCGGGAATCAGAATTTGAAAATTAAAAATAGGGTGCGTTGAATCTCAAAACGCATAAAAAACGCTATAAATTGCATTTTTTTTATGATTTCAAGTTTAGACCCCACTGGAAGTGGTTCTCAAGAAAAGAAAAAGTTAAAAACTCAACGTTAACAATGTGAGGAAAGGTATATTTTAGGTTTACACAAAAATATTGTGCAGTTGAAACGAATATTAAAATTTCGTGAGATTCACTCATATACATATTATCTAGCACAACTCAGCGTACGTAACTTGTAATTCATAGTGCACAGCGTGCGCAATGTACACAGGTGAGGCAGAGCAGCTTCCAAGCATAAACATGAAACGGCTCATCACAGTTATAACGTGGCCACCAAACGTGTGGTATCGCAACCAATCGGCCGAATGTATCACATATGAACTTAAGGGGACATTCCCGTTGAAAATGAAAAAAAAATCGATACATTTTTTTTACGTTAGAACGTTCTTTAATATCATAAAAATATCCTGTTAAAATTTTAGATCGAAATTCATAAAGAAGAAAAAGTTATGCCTGATCACACGAAGCGTCTCGATCTGAACAGAACAAAACTTCGGACGCGTTTTTCTCAAAACTACTTTTTTTCAGCTCTTGACAGCGATTGAGAAAAAACTACTAGTCCGATCTTTACGTTTAATATCTCGTTTTAATCGTTACAACTTTCTCTACAAGACAAACCTCTAAAAAGTGGAAAAAATCATCCCCAATTTTAAATTATGAGGGTGAATTTACCCCCACAACCACCGAAAAGAGCATTTTTTTAGAAAAACTCGTGCCAAAATCGTAAAAATTGAAAATATCAATTTTTTAGAAGTTTGTATTCTAGAGAAAGTTGGAACGATTAAAACGAGATATTAAACGTAAAAATCAGACTAGTAGTTTTTTTCCAATCGCTGGCAAGAGCTGAAACATGGATTTCATTAAATTCCGTCTACAGCCAACAAAATAGGTCTTAAGTCCCATAAAAAAATTATTTTTTATAGTTTAATATTGTAGGAACAATACCCAAAAGGTCCAGAATGAATAAAAATTGTAGTTTAAAAAAAAAAAATATTTAAGAAGTGATTTTTTTTACTATTTGCAAAGGGAATGTCCCATTAAGCCCATTAAAGCTTTCGCTATGAAAAGAAAAATTATTTTATCATAATAGCTAATTTAAGCTTATATGCGCCGTGCACAGGAGACAGTACAATAATTTTAGATGAATTCCATTTGAGTAAATATTTTACCAGCCTGCGGACGGCAACGAGGTATTACATCAGATGCGTATTACATAGTTATTAATAATATTATTATTTTTGATTTCAATTATGAATTTAATCAGAATAGAAACCTGACCTCAATAAAATCAAGAGTCATGGACATTTGTCCCTAAACCCAAAAGTCCCGCAAATGAGAATCGAGGATTTCAAATGTTTCCCACGAATCAGAGCGCGTTCGAATTATTTATTGCAAACGTCAGAGCGTTGCCAAGACGAACTTTCACTTGAGTAGTTACTTATACGAACAATGTCTAAGTAATTCCTAATTTTAAGTAATTCCTTGAACAAAACTTATTATTCATTGGTCATTGCTTAAGTAATTACTTAAGCAATTACTAATGGTGAAAAAATATGGAAATCAGTATAGTCCAGGAAAAGTAGCCGGGAAACTGCAATAGAGCGACACTTTACAAGCGATGCGTATTCGAATTTTCACGAAGAAGGAGGCTGTAGCGAAAATTAAAAAAACTTTAGATCGAAGTGAAATTGTAACCAATGATAGTTTATGAACTTACAAGATTTTTGGTAAAAAAAAAATTTGGGGTTTCCAGGCAAACTTGAAAAATAATGAGATTCAAAGTTTTGGCCATTTAACATTAGATCTTATGGGAAGTGTCAGTTTTTAGTGTACTGTAAGCTCAAATCACTTTACCAGTTGGTGAAATTAATATATGTTATAGGAAATCTAATTTGCTTTCGAATGATGAAATTGTAAATGGGTGTTTCCAGGCAAATAAAAAATATATTAAAAGTCCAACACATTTCCCCTATGTTCTGCCATGCTAACGCTATGCGCTGCGTAACGCATATAGCCTTGCGCATATAGCGTTTTACTACGGTACCACCTTGCATCGCTACAGCGTCCTTAAATTTATGTCCCACATCCAAGATATGTTGTACAGTTTATAGTTCATAATTGATTTTACATAAGCACTTTTTTGTATAACTACAATTAAACATTTATTTTATTCTTGATAAATACAATAAGTTCACTTGTATGCAGATGAAGAGTATCTTACAGGCAATGAAATAAAATTTGCCAATTATGAGAGATATAATATTGCAATTTAGTGCTTATTACAACTTAAGTAATTTTAATTAATTTAAAATGTATACTATTTTAATGGAATAAAAAAATATTTCCTAATTTTGACAGAAAACTATTTTTTTAACTAAACAAAAATGACTGTGACGTAGTCTAATTATAAATAAAATTTTCATTAACATTTTTTTTTATTTGACGCTTCGACTTTTTTGGCTCCAAATTAAAAAGAGCAGCAGACTTGCAGCCCCTTTTCTTGGGTACTTTTGGCTTTTGGATCAATTTACGTGGTGATGGCTCAACTGGTTCCAACACCTCCTGTGGTGACTTTGTGACCGGCTTCATTGTTTCATGTAATGACAGCTCAATAGGTTCCTGTACCGGTTCTACTGTCGACTCTACGAGCTTTAGTTCATCATTTTCATCATCGGTGTCATCGGTGTCGTTGATGTCGATGTCGCTTTTTTTAGCAGTACCAGTATTAATAGCTAGAGTAACGAGAAAAAATGCTTATATGAGACATAATTCATGAGTGCAATAGCAGGCGCGTGAAGGCTGGCGGATAGGCGAAACCGAGGTTGAACTATTTAGATTACTTTCGAAGCCATTTTTTAAAAATGAGCTTTTGAAACAGACATACGACAATTTTGTTTACATATTCGTAAACTACATTGAATTCCCAACATATGTCTGTATGTGCGAGCGTTCGTGTGTGTGTGTCTGTATGTGGGTAAGTTGTTTTTGTTTTCTTGATTTTCATACAAATTTCTAGAAAAAGTTTTAATGAAAATCTATTAAATGTATTTGAATATTTACATTTTGACGTAGCCTCGGTATCTCCTACATCGCGCAGCGGTTCATTTTAAAATTTGACGCCTTATATGTAAGACAACTGAATAAAATTACTTTACATACTTTGCTCAATGATCTGAATAGTTGAAGTGTTATTGTAGCCTGATAAATCATTAATGAACATTTTGACAGTCCATTTGGCAGGTCCGTTTAGAGCGAGACAGCAGCAGTAATAGTATTAAGATAATCTGATAAACGCCATGTAATCGCCAATCGGTCCAGATCATTTGAACAGAATCATAACGTCAACGTTGAAAAACCACTGTCGAACTTTTCCGAACGACACCAAAACTAAGAGCACTTCACCGACGAGCTTGCTACTGTCGCCAATTAAAAGCACCATGAGAAATTTTTCACACCCATACATAAGTCAAAAAGAGATCGAACATAAGGAAAGGCTTCGAAAATCTCTGGTCAGCCAATTCGATCGGTTCATTGACAGCAAATAATCGATACGAGACGCAGTTGAAGTCCTGAATTCTAGGACACACCCGAGATTTCAAAAACGATTTTAGCTCCGATGTAAATGTCACCTATGTATTTCAAAAGTCTACTGCTCCAACAGCCCATTAAAGTCAGAGCGACTGAAATATTTACAGTCGAGCAATTACAACTATCGCGCCAAAGGCTTTAAGAAAACTTGATTTTATGAAAAAATATACTTACACAGAAATGTATAGACACTGGGGTTTGACTTTAATTTCTGATTCAAACTCCTGTGGTAGGATTCCAGACAATTATTTGTGCGGTCAACGCTATTATAAACGCTGAACGTTTCAGGTTTGATTTTGTTCATCCATTTTAAAGTAATTATCTATAAATTTTGTCCATCTTTTCAAAAATTTCGGATTATCTGCTAATTCATTTGCAATAACTTCTTTGACTATTTGTAACCCCTCTGGAATTTTATCAGCTGGAAGTAGAGGAAGCACTAAGAGCTTTTTAATTACTTCTTGCCCTTTCGGATTTTCAGTAGAGTTATTCCTCGAATATAGCCGATAATCCTTACTTTTCGCTTTTCTTACGATTGCCTGCAAATATGTAAAAAATTAGTACAAATTTTTATTAAATATTACAGAATAGAGAAGTATTCGATTAGACTTGATTCATATTTTAATTAAAAACCCGAACTGAAAAGTGATATAAGATCACTGTCCAATTTTTCGCTCAACTTTGGATTAATTTTTTAAATAAGATCAAAAATTGATACTCGTATTCAAATAATACAGTTTTGTTAAACATAGTCTGTTCATATGACCAATTTTTTTGTAAATACAATTAAATCTTAAGTATTAATTAATGAGCAAAAATAGGTAAAGTGACCTCTGAAAATAATTATTATTTATAAGTGAAAAATTACTTGGGTAAAATGAAAATAACACGCTCGCACGGGCGCTTTAAATGCTGCTCGTACTGATTTAATGAACGCCTTCTCGTAATCACAAGTCACTTGGAATGGTTGGAAAGAAGGAAAGGTATCTTGTAAATATTTCCAAATAGCATTATAGGATTTTGACGTCTTCCGCGACATGAGAACCCATCCGCATGGAACAATCTATAACATTAAGAAAATAAAATTTTTTTCATTTTTTTTGTTTCTCTCTCTCTCTCTCTCTCTCTCTTTGAAGACAAATTTGAAGTCATAACATAGAATACTTATAAAAATTATTATATTATAAATCGAAGTGACATGATATACTGAGCTTGTAATCGAGCTTACAATATACAACTTAAATATTTTGTCACAAGATAACGGAATATCATCTCATGATAACCCTGTGATCCCTAAATATACCTATGTATCAAATGCTCGCTCAGTAACAAAGATGCGCTTTATAATATTATATTAGATTGATAGATATGCAGCTCTTACGTGCCGAAATGTTTTTGAAGAGAAATAAAATTGTTGTGTTCAGGCATTCAATGAACAGTAGCAGCAGCACAGTTTGCTGGCTTTTCACTCGTATGCAACCAAATTTTGCACATGGCTGTACTTTGCCGGCAAGGTATACATCATTAGTTTATATGAAATAAATTAATTACTTACTACATTAAGTTTCTTACACATAACTGTAAGAAGTTGGTTGACTCCTTTGATGTTCGGGCTGACTTTGAAAGTGGCATCGGCGAACATGTCATTTCGGTTGTCGAATTCAGCCAGTAGGTCTTTGTCGTACAATATCAGATGGTCGCCTTGCGACGACAATGATATTAAGGACGCTGATATTTTATGAACTGCAGACCCCTCTTTCATCGTCAGCAAATCCGGGTACTCTTGAATGTGCTCATAAAAAGCACGAATGGAAGAATAATATTTTTTTACATTACTCTTCAAACCATTCGGAGTCCTTGCCCTTGATATTGTTTTTTTAATTTTTGTAAATGATACTGCGCTAGCGAAATCTCTTTTTCTGAAACAAAGTTAATGATCGTTAAAGAGATTGATTGAATAAGTGGAGATTTACGCGTATGCAGTATGTTATTCGGGCGTGAGCAAATATAGGCATATCGCTAGTTTGGATTTGCAAATCGTATAACAGATGACTGACTGTTACAAAATTTTTTTTTTCAACCATCGACTGGAGCGCGACGACAGCGTATAGTGTGTGTGGCGGTAGCCGTATACTCTGCGGTGTAATTATACGTTTAAAGCACAAGCGTGTCGCGCTCGATCCTTTCTATTTTTTTTGTCACGTACCACGCGATAAGCGGAAATTAAATGTGAATCATTTCATCCATCAAAGCTCGATGGAGCTGTGCTTTTTTCGATGAATTTTTTTGCGTGCGCGCGTGGGAAGAAACAATCAGGGGAAAAATTAAAACGCGAAATTTGCACTCGAGCTTTTCCTCTCGTCGGTTCGAAATTACGATAATTACAGCGTTGGCGCGAGTCAGTGGCAGTCAGCGTGAAGTAGTATGGTAGAGCGAAAAGGGTACACTCTGCTGCGCTGCTGCTGTTGGCTAAAATCTGGCTATCCGAAAAAGTTAACGAGGATGCGATGATGGCCGAAAAGTGAGGAACTACTATATACTCTCTCTCGAGAGAGAGAGAGAGCTGCACACTGCGCTGCGGCACGCCGCGACGCTTAGAGGCGTGCGGCATGGGCTCACTGATAGAGCGGGGATCGCCTGCGACGCACGACGCATTCTGTACGGATGTCGCGCTGCCGTTTAATGCTCAAGCAGCTGTGAGCTGACCTTGCTTGTAGTTCGTTGATCGTCTTTTGTTGATCTACAAAATTTTAGTAGAAAGAAATAGCTAAAAACACATGGAAAACAAATCATCGAAATACATCATTGAAGCCGAAAGACGTGTAATCCATTACCTTCTTTACGATGGATTTATACATATTAATATTATGATCGCGACGCTGATCGAGCCCGTATCGAGTCGCTGCCACGGCGTATTTACAATAGCTAATAAATGCGTAATTTATTTATTGGACCGCCTGTGTATATATAGTACTGTACATGTGCGAAATAATCATATGGCTCTTTGAACACGAATATAAAATAACGATCTGTCTCAATTCGAATAAATAGGAATTCAGCGCTTGATTCTAATGTGCGAATAAAAAGTATTAAAAAATTATACTCACTCGTCACACGTGGCATCAAAAATTATTTTTGGTTCAGTCAGTGGAGGAACACTTGCAGCTTTTTGCTTCAAAGCTATTCTCATTAGCCGCTTTTCCAAACTTTGATGATCGCTCTTGAGGCACGTATGCTCTTGGTTCAGTTTTATGCTTAGAGGATTATGGTTGGCATCGATCCTTAGCAGTGTTGAACATTCCTTTTTTATGCAGCCATACCTTTATGAAATAATTATTTTCAAATTGTAGGTTTTTTTAATAAAATAAGGAGACAGTCACGATAAATAAGCGCGGGGTTAGCATGAGAAATTGCTAAAACACGTACGTTTGAAACGCTCTTAAGAAAGCTTTAAACCTAGAGTCATAAAATTTCAGCATGTTATAAAGTCTTAAGTCAATTCGCTTTTTTAAGGTTACAAGGGACAATTTTACAATTCCGATCCCACCACTATTTAGCGAAAGAAAAAACACGCCGAAAACATGTATTTTTTCTGAAAGAAATATTAAATCAGCGAGTTGCAAACTACGCGATTTAGTTACATTACGCGATCGCGCGCATCACTAGGGCGTATATCGCGATTCTACCCACACATCGAGAATCTATGAAATTAAACTTTTGTTTCAATAGAAAAGTGTTTATCTGCTTAGTGTTCACAATAACTGCATATAATAAAAGCGTATTACCTTGTTTTTTTTTATTTTTTACACCATAATTATAACCGTCGAAATGTAATCCTCGTAAAACTTTTGCATCGCAAAAGTTTTTGTTTTCCATGCTGTATATAATTGAGGAAGTCAACTACAAATGAAAGTTAAAAGAAAGATGCAGAGATCGATACATATATATAATCTTCAATTTGCACGGCGAGTAACACCAGCTAAGGTCCGTCGCAATCGCAGATTAACGCGAACTCTCGTGACCATGGTTGCCGATCCTCTTTTTGTTCGATCGATCTCACGTATGTATGTATCGATACATACGTGAATGCAACTTCAGATTTGTTTTTGTTTCTTAACCACAAAATCGACTCTGTGTAGTTTACATACGTACAGAGAACTTTGATTTACAATGAGTCAAATTAGAGCTGCAAAATTAAATTTAGACGAGGAAAAAGTCCTGTTGAAGTTGCGACGCTGCAAATTGGCCTTATCAAATAAGGTCCAACTCAAATGCCGTCGATAAGAATTTTATTATGTGGGACCTCTTGTACTCACGCTGATTTCTCCGAGGAGGTTCTGAGCCTTCCGCCGAGTTTGGGCCGAGCTGTTGGCCCCAGCGACTCACCTTTCGAATCGGCCTAGGAAATCTCAATTTGTCGCGAACTCCGCAAAAATCCTTGTAATTTTGCAATATTGCTCTACGCGCTAAAAAGAGGGAGTCTAGGGAATTTACAACAAAATAACGAATTAATAATGACTCGCGATATTCAATTTCAAAAATCTAGTCACTTTATTTCACTTTTGACATTGGCCACCAGGTGCGCTGGTGGCGTTCTTGTTTGCCTTCCATGGCCGAACCTTTGCTCCGCAGCAATAGGTTACGTCGTGACTCTCTTATTTTACTTGGCCAAAATGGCCGTCGCTACGTACGCGTGGTCGAACGAGCTCGGCCGACGCACGCGTGCTTCGCTCGTCGACCTGTAGCCA